GGGTGGGCCCACGGATATTCGGTTTTCGAGTATTCGGATATGTATAGACGGGTGCGTGGGTGGGTGTGCGCTGCCGGCAATAGAGAGGAAGCAGGCGGGGCGGGAGCGCTGGCGACGGCAGCCTGCGTGCTTGCTGCCGGGGCTGTGCGTGTGGGCAGGAGCGGGCCCGCGGCAGGGACGGGTGCAGGGGTGGCGCGGTGCTGGCGGCGCTGCGCTGGTGGCGCGACGCACACCACCTCTCTCCTCCCTCTCTCCACCCTCTCTCCACCCCACCCCCACCCCACCCGCAGACATCCACCCGGTGGGCTACCACGACCGCGAGGACAAGGGCATCCTGCTGGTCAAGATGCGGCGCAACCAGGAGCTCAAGCTGCGGGCGGTGGCGCGCAAGGGCACGGGCAAGGACCACGCCAAGTGGATGCCCGTGGCCACCTGCGTGTACCAGGTACGGTACCAGGCAGGACGACGCCCTGCAGGACCTGGCAGGACGGCCCCTGCCCGCACACCCGCATGCCCTCACGCACACGCGCACGCGTGCCTCGCATGTACCGCCTCTCGGCATGCACCGCCCGCCGCAGCGCGCCGTGCCTGGCACTGTCGGGAGCCGCCTGGCGCCGGGCGTGGCGTGACAGGCGGGCGCGGCAAACCCCGCCCCCTTGCGATCGCCGCCCGCTTCCACCGCCATCCGTACCGCCCGCCTCCGCCCCGTACCGCCCCGCAGTTCATGCCCGAAATCACCATCAACCACGCCCTCATGGACACTCTCACAGGTGGGATGCCGCCCCTGCCGCGCTGCTGCCCCTGCCCGGCGCCTCCCTGCCCCGCTGCCGCCCCTGCCCTCCGCCCTGCGCCCCTCAGCGATGCCTCCTGCCCCCTGCAGACGACCAGAAGGAGGAGTGGTGCGCAGCAGACCCGCGGAAAACGTTCCGGCTGAACAAGCTGACGCACAGGGTGCGCCTCGCCTGGGGGCTGCCTCACCTGGGCTGCCTTGACCTGCCCCGGCTTGCCTGCCTGCCGTCCGTACAGCACCTGCCTGCCTGCCTGCCTGCCTGCCTGCCTGCCCCGAATTCCCTGCCCGCCTGCCTGTCTCGCCGAGCTGTTCCTGGCTGCCTGCTGCTCACCTCCCTGCTGCTCACCTCTCCGCTCTGCTGGGCTCCACCTCTCCATCTCAACCCCTCCACCTCCCTACCTCTCCTCCTCCCTCTCCACCTCCCTACCTCTCCTCCTCCCTCGCCACCTCCACCTCCCTCCTCTCCTCCCCCCTCCCCACCTCCACCTCCCCCTCCCTCCGCGGCAGGTGGAGGTGACCAACCCCGAGCTGTACCAGTACGACGGCGAGGTGCTGGCCAAGGCGGAGGAGATGGGCAAGCCGGGGCTGGTGGCCATCAAGCAGAAGCAGGTTGGGGGTGGGGCTCCTTGCGTGGCAGGCTGATGGTGACGGTAGCTGGATGTGCGGGTGTGGTGTGGTGTGGTGTGTGCGGCTTGCTGCCAGGCCCAGGCTTCACGGATGCCACCGCTCTCTTCCAGTTGCCTCGGTACCGTCCCTCCCGTACCGCTCCCGTACCGCCGCAGGACACCTTCATCTTCCGGGTGGAGGGCACCGGCGTGCTGCCGCCCCAGGACATTGTGCTGACCGCCTGCGAGGTGCTGGCCAGCAAGATACGCAACCTGGATGCGGCGCTGGCGGAGGAGGCGCGCCGGTTTGACGGCCGGGAGGAGCCGGCGCCCATGCAGGCGTGAGGGCCAGGCGGCAAGGGCACGGCAGCCGGGCGGCGCACGGGCGCGAGGCGGCGCCCGTGCAGCCCGCTGGCAGCCTGGCAGTGCCCATGGGGACGCCCATACATGGCGCGAGGCAGCCCGTGGCGCTGAGCCCATGCCAAGCCAGTGTGCAGTACGCAGCGGGTGCGGGGCAGCAGCAGCGCGCGCGTCTCGGCCACCCGCAGCGCCCCTTCACCCACGCCCTGCGCCGCCTGGGCTGCTTTTGTTTGTGTGGCTCCCACCAGCTCTTCTTTCTGGCAATGTCTGTTTGATCCAGAATCCAGCTGTAACTGCGATAATCTCCACATTTGCTGGGTGGTTGCTGGCGGCTGAGGGGCAAGTGCAGGGGGACGCTGGCCGATCCCTTTCCTTTGTCAGAACCCTTTGAATTTCTTCGACCCACCTTCGATTGCTCAACGCCTCTGGCGGGGAGCATGGGTGCCGTGCCTCTGGTGGACCCAGCGGCGGCGGCCGCCGCCGCGCTGCAGCGCATGCCGCTGCCCGCGCTGCTGGCCTGGGCGCTGGAGCTTTCCCTCCTGGTGACCCACGGCAAGGTGGGGGCGGAATGGCCGCTGGCTCCTCTGCCTTGGGAGCGCCGATGGGCTAGTCCGGGGGCACCGCCTCTGATCCGGGCGACGACAGCGGGGGGCGGGGTGGTGAGTACGCAGCTGCTGCCCGGCTTCTCTCCCGCCCACCTGTCGCCACCTGCCGCCCCCTGTCCAGGTGCTGTTTGCCGTAGGGCCCGACTTCAGCTTTGAGGAGCTGGAGGGTCGGCGCTACTACTTCCTCCTCGACCTGCTGTCTCCTTGGGTGGCGCTGGCGGCCGCCACCGGCGTGTGCGGGCTGCCAGGTGAGGCTCGGGCGCAGCCTGCTTGGTGGCCACTCCCTCGGTGATGGGCACAGCTCGTTGTGCACTGTTGCTTCCGGGTCGGCACCCCAACAGGCCTGACCTGCCTGCCGCTTGAAACCGGCTGCAGGCGTGCCGCCGGCGCTGCTGGTGCTGTGCGGCCTGCATGCCGCTCTGCACGCCTTCTACATCGCCACCTGGCGCTCCAGCCGCCACATGCAACGAGTGATATGCCTGTCCTCCACCGACACGTCTCGCCGCTTCCAGGCTGGAAAGTACGGCACTGCCGAGCTGGCTCGGTACTATGCTGGTACCAGCTTCGACATGGCCACCCACGCAGCCGTCCTGTGGCTGCTGTCCTCCGCGTGCGGCGCCGGCGCCAGCACCTGAACGACTGGGTGTGCCATGTATGCGTGGGCCCTGATGCAAAATCGTTCCCCTTCAGCGAAACATCAGCATGCGCTGGCAGTGTTTCGCAAAAGGCTCATGTGTTGCCTCTGTTGCATTTTTGGATGGCGCCCGCCATGTCAGCACTCAAGATTGCTCAGAGCGCACAATTGTGTCATCACCTTGTAGTTGCAACTGTTTCGACAATTACCAACTTTTCGGCAATTGCGCACTCACGCCATGGATATCGAGGCCCCGCCCCCGCAGCCCGCTCCGCAAAACGGCAAGTCAGCCTCTAGGGCAGCGGGGACCGTCCTGACCTTCCTCATATCGTACTACGTGCCCGGAAAGAAGCGCGGCACAAGGGTTCAGCTGCTGGGTGGGCCAGGCGGCGCCGCCACGGACGGCAGAGACGGCGGCGTCTCGGGCTTCCTGCTGCCCGGCCAGATGCTGTGCGTGCTGGGACCCTCTGGCTGCGGCAAGACCACCCTGTTCGACCTGCTCTCGGGGCGCAAGACGTACGGCACAGTGGAGGGCGAGATGCTGTTTGACGGCGCGGCGCCCACGCCGTCGATGCTGCGCCGCCACCTCGGCTATGTGGAGCAGCAGGACACCCTGCTGGGCATGCTGACCCCCGCCGAGATGCTGATGTACACGGCGGAGCTGAAGCAGCCGCGGGGCATGCCGCGCGCCGACAAGGCGGCCGCGGTGGCAGACCTGGTGCGGCGGCTGGGCCTGCAGCGCTGCCAGCACACCGTCATCGGCAGCGTGCTGCGCAGGTGGGCTTGCTGGAGGGATGGGAGGAGTGTGGTGGGGAACGGGGAGGGCCAGGCTGCGCTGCCCGCTGCTGCATTGGATGCTGTGCTGTGCGATGCAGCCAGCACAAGTGGCTGCGGAGCCACCTGGCGCCGCCTGGCACGCGTGCCCTGCCGCTGGCTGGCCCGACACCCTCCCCCGCTTCAACCTGCTCGCCTCGCCACCCTCACACTCCCTGCCGCTCGCCTCCTGCCCGCCCCCGCCCCCCCCCGCGCCAACCCTGCAGGGGCATCAGTGGCGGCGAGTCCAAGCGCTGCAACATCGGCATCGCGCTCATCACCAGCCCGCGCGTGCTGCTGATTGACGAAATCACCTCAGGGCTGGACTCCTTCTATGGCGGCGAGGTGGCCCTGATTGTCAAGGTAGGGGTGGTTGGAGGCATGGAGTGGGGTCGATGGGTAGCGATGCCGCAGGGATGGATGGGGGAGTGGCCAGGCGGGGCGGGTGGCCCAGGCAGCACAGGGGGTAGTCTTTGCATGCGGACTGCGGCTGCGATGAGCTGGCTGCTGAGCCCCCGCAGGCTCTGCTGCAGAACGGCTGCACCTCGCGCACATGGCCTCTCCCCCTCTTCCAGCTCCCACACGCTCTTGTGTTGCCTGCATGCCGCCCCGCCCGCCACAGGACCTGGCGCGCGAGGGCATCTCAGTGGCCTGCACCATCCACTCCCCGGCCCCCTCCGTCTTTGCCCTGTTTGACCGCGTGCTGCTGCTGCAGCGGGGGCGCACCGTGTACTTTGGTCCCAACGGTGCGCTGCTGTTCAATTTTGGCAGAGTTGTGGCCCCGCTGCCCAGCCCGCCGGCTGAGGACTGCCCTGCCCTGTGCCACCCCTGGCCTGCCCGCCCGCCTCCCTGCCTTCCAGGCTCCGCCATATGTCTTGCGCTTGACCCGCCGCCATGGCTCACCGCCTCCCCAACTGCACCCGCTCCGCAGGCCCCCCCCTGCTCGACTACTTTGCCGCCACCTTCCCCGAGCTGCGGCGCCCTGCTGCAGCCGAGGGCCTAGCAGACTTTGTCGTGGATGTCACCACCAGAGCAGACACCGACCCCAAGCAGGCCTGCCGGTTTGCTGATGCCTACGCCGCCTCCCAGCTGCATGCCGACAACGAGGCCGCCCAGGAGGCGCTGCGGGGGGAGGCGCTGGCGGCACTGCAGCAGCCAGGCGGCGGCGGCGGCGGCGGCGGCGGCGGCGGCGTGCGGGGTTGCGGCGCCAGCTGCAGCGGGTGTGGGGGGCAGGAGGAGGGAACCGTCACGCCCATGTGGTTTGCCCTGCTGGTGCTGTACCGGTACCGCACCCTGCGGGCCATCAAGGTACTGCCCGGCTCGTAGCCTTCCCGTCCTGCGCCTTGCTGGTGCCGCACTTGGCAGGCCCTGCGCCTCGTGGCCCTGCAGTGCTGGCTGCGCCCGGCCCTAGGCCCCACCTGCCCACACACACCTCGTGCTCGCACCACACACGCACACAACACACAGACAACCCCCTGCTTTCCTGCAGCGCGCCGAGTACATCATGCCCCGTACCGGCGACAAGGTGATGGTCACCTTCCTGGTAGCTACCATCTACTGGGGCATCGGCGACAGCTCCGCGCCGGAGGATGTGGCCGCCGCCGCCGCTGTGCTCTTCCTGTGGTCCATGCTCACCGCCTTCACCAGGCGAGGATCCTGGGGGAAGGGTGACGGGCGCGTGTGCATGTGCTGCTTGTGCTGGTAGTGTGTGGATGTGGATGTGGAGGCGGCAGCGGAGGTTGGGGGTTGGTGCTGTTTCTCCAAAGTGCTGTCTCGCTGGGCAGGGCACGGCCAGGGTCTGCCAGAGCAGCATCGAGCATCTGACGGCCCGCCTGGCCCCCCTGCCCTGCCTGCAGCATGGGCATCCTGCCGTGCTTGGTACTGGAGCGGCCGGTGTATGTGCGGGAGCGTTCCGACGGGCTCTACCGACCACTCACGTATCTCATCTACAAGGCAAGTTGGCTGCTGCGGCGGTGGGGCATACATGGCTGTTGCTGGCTGGGTGCAGTGGCCGCCTCATGCCGGCTTCCTCCAGCAACTGGCTGCGGGCCGCCTCGGCTGCTGGGGTGCAGGTCAGCGAGGAGGTGGCGGTGGGCGCCATCCCGTCTGTCATCTACTCAGCCCTGGTGTTTTACCTGATCAGGTGGGGTGGCAGCAGGCTTGCGCCGAGCCAGCTGTAGGGATGGCATCGTGCCAGCGAGCTTCCTGGCAGCGGGGGCGCCAAATGCACCTGGCCTGGTGCTGGGCGCCCCGACAAGCAGCAGCCACGCCCCACCCCTTCCCCGGCCCGCAGGCTCCAGGGCTCCTTCCTCCTCTTCTGGCTGGTCTACTTTGTGAGCATGTGCGTGGCGATCGCGCTGGCGCTGCTGGCAGGCGCCGTCTCGCCCACGGTGGACGTGGCGGGCGCGGTGCTGCCAGCGTACGCCACAACCTTGCTCTTCTTTTCAGGCAGGAACCGCATGCCATGGGGAGAGAAGGCTGCGGCTTGGCCTGGTTGCAGCCGTGCCAGCAATGCTTACGTCCTTCTGCCTGGACTTGGGCAGGTGGCTCAGTGATGCATTACGCATGCAGGGTGCGGCGTGCACGCCGTGCCGCGGTGCGTGCTGTGGTCTGGGCCGCTCGCACGCCGGCTCACCCTGCCCACTTGCCGGAGCTCCCCCTGGCCGCAGGCTTTATGATCCCCTGGAGCCAGCTGCCCGCATACTGGTGCGTGCTGCAGCGTGCGTTGTGGGTACTACCCACAGCTTGTAGCAGGCTGGCCCCCTGCCAACGCTTCCGACCCTACCCGTACCTCGCCGCGTTTGCAGGCGCTGGTATGCCGTCATCGACCACCTGCGCTACGCCTTTGGCGCCATGATGGTCAACCAGGTGTGTGTGTGGTGGGGTGCGAGTCATTCGCGGGTAGGCTTGCCCGAACAGCATGATGCTGCAGCGCAGCGCTACCACCGACTGGGCTGCACAGCACCCATGACAAGCACGTGCCGCTCCTTCCCCGTGACCGCGGCCCTCCGCCTGGCGCCGCCTCCACCTGCGCAGTTTGAGGGCGAGCGGGACGTGGCGTACCGCAGCGGCGGCCAGACTGTGCTGGGCTTCTACGGCCTGGAGGGTGCCAGCAAGTGGCTCTGGCTGGTCTACGAGTCGCTCTTCTTCTGGGTGTTTGCCGCCCTGCTGTGGGCGGCGCTGGTGTGGGTGCGCCACCAGCGGCGCTGAGGCCGGCAGGGGCCCCGTGGTGGACACCTGCACCGTGGATACCTGCCCGTGTCTCAGCTTTGTATCACACAATCACGCCGATTCGAACCGAGGGCCTCCCTGTGCGTCCACGACACGCGTGCTGCCTCGCCACGGCTGCTCGGCCAGTCACTCCTGCTCAGTTTCCTCTTGCTGCTCCACCCAGTCATCGATCCAGGTGCGCACGTGGCCCATGATTTCGTCTCGTGCCTGCACCAGCATGGGGAACAGTATCACAAATCCAACCAACCCAGTGCACACCTGCCGCGTCCACCACCAAACCACCACCCCACCCACCCACCCTCGCACACATCACTGCCACCTCCCAGGAGGCCCCCCCCCACCACCGCCGCACCTCTGCAAACTGCGGCGGGTCTGCCGGGTCTGCAAACATGAGGTCCACGTGGTGCGCGCCCTGCGGCAGCACCACCGCGGGCAGCGAGGGCGCCAGGCCTTCCAGGTAGCCGGCAGAACCCCAGGGGTCCAGCAGCCCGTTGGAAAACACCACGTTGGTGGCGGCGGCTGCGGGGGGGGGAGCAGGGAGAGTGCGAGTGCGGTGCGGTGGGCGTGTGGCCGTGCGTCCCGCGTCGACAGCGGGGGCAGGAAGCGGGCAGCCCGGCACGCGGGCCGCCGCGCACACGCGCAGTCTGCCACACCCCGCCCCTGGGCGTCCGCTGATCACTGGGCCGCAGCCTGGGCCAGCAAGCGGCCGTCTCACCCGCAAACTGGTCAGGGAAGAGGCCGTAGCGCAGGTGCATCTCGCCGATGTGCGGCAGCACCACGCCGCCAAACGCCGCCACGCACGAGGCGTCCAGCGCGGAGCGGTTGAAGGGGGTGGCGGCGCGCCAGAACATGTCGCGCGGCGCGCCGTTGGTCCCAAACCAGATGGAGTTCAGCTGGAACTGGGTGCAGGTCTGGTAGCTGTAGGAGCCGGGGGCCCCCAGGCTGGTGGAGGACTGCGCAAAGGCGTAGTCATAGCAGGGCACCGACTGCGGCGGCAGGAGCAGAGCAGGCGGGGAGGGAGCGAGGGCAGGGAGGCGGGGCGGTGGGCAGGCGCGCGTCACGGGGGTTGGGGTGCAAGGGAGGAGAGCGGAGCGCGTTTGGGCTGGGAGGACGGCCCCCAAGGAGCGGCAGGCAGACAGATGGGCTGGCGTACAAGCAAGCAGGCAAGAGGCGGGAAGGCAGGCAGGCACCCCATAGTCTGGCGGGCTGACAGCACAGGCCGCACCTGAGTGACATTAAAAATGACGGAGATGGCGGCGCCGCCCGCCGCCAGCAGCTCCTCGTCGCCTTGGAAGCTGCCCGCCAGCTGGGAGCAGACCACGCGGGCTGGCCAGGCGGGGTAGGGAAAGTCGGGGTTGCCTGCGCCAAGGGAGGGAGGCCAGGTGGCAGCGCAGGATGGGCACGGGAGGGCTGGTGGGGCTGGGCAGGTGACGGCCGCACAGCAGCCGCCGCGCCAGGTGTGAGAGGCTGCGCAGCGCAGGCGCAGGTGTGCTCATGCGGCAACAACGCCCCCAGTCAAGCAAACTGTTGTGTGAAGGGGCTGTCTGCTCACCCGTGAAGTACGCCGAACGATAGGGGTAATTGCCCATGGATGCCATGTCGAATGCCTGGAAGAAAGAAAGGAGGACGGAAAGCAGGCAGTCGAGCATGGAAGAAAGCTCAGGAGGAAAGGGGGCGACGATCACGCGGCAGCAGGCAGGAGCAGGTGCCTTCCCCAGCTGCTGCCCTAGCATGCCAGCGTGCTGCACGTGCTGCACGCACCTGGTTAGCCATCATGGCCCCTGCAGGCACAGGCACAGGCACAGCAACGGCAGGGGCCCAGGTGGGAGGGCGGCGCACAATGCAAGGGCGGGCGCGCTTGCGGCCTCCACCGCGGCTGCGCAGCCGGCCCCTGCCCAGGCCCCTACCCCGCACTCACACATGGTGGCATCGCCGCTGCTGTTGATGGCGCCGGGGCAGATGCGCAGGCCTTGCTCCACCTGGCGCCAGCTGGCCTCCTTCCCGCTCTCGATCAGGCTGATGATCAGCGGGAAGAGGCGCTGCGAGTTGGGCACGCAGGCGGGGTCGGCGCCGGCGGCGGGGCTGGCGTCGCGCGTCACCACCTGCACCGTGTGAGGGCGTGTCGGTGTGATGGCAGGCAGGGGTGGGATGACACCGCAGGCGAGGCGAGCTGTGTGGGCGAGGAGGCAAACAAGGTGGTGGGCGGCGCGTGGAGGGCACGCCCCCCTTCCCGCTTGGAGCTGCTGCGCAGCCGCTGCCCGGACCGACTCGCCACGCCCCGCCACCCCGCTGCCGCCGCCCACCCAACTCACCTCCCAATAGCTGCCGGGATCATATCCGCCATCCTGCAGCAGCCAGCCGCGCATGGGCGCCGACGACGACACCGCCGCTTGCACTGCGGGGCGTGGTGGCGGGGTGTGGTGGCTAGACGCGTGTCGAGCGGCAAAAGGCAGTGCTTGCACGGCTCGCGTGCGGGCACCCAGGCGCCCCCCGCTCCAAGACGCCACTCACCGCTGCTAGGACGGGTCGCCCGCATGATGGCCACCAGCACGCCGCCTGCACCACAGCCACACACATTGGCATCAGGGGATGGGCACGGGCTGCATGGCACACGGCCCCGTAGGCCCTGACAGCCGGCTACCTGCCACCACAGCCACAGGGCACAGCTGGCCACCCACCGTAGCTGCCGCCAAAGGCAACGACAGGCGCCGAGGTGGCATTCAGCGAGATCTTGAGCCACTGCACGGCGGCGGCGGCGGCAGAAGCGAGGCGACGATTGGTGGCAGCAGGCGACAGGACCTTCCTTCCCCTCGCCCGCGAGGCAAAGTGTCTTGGTGGAAAGGGTGGCACAGCAGGGGCTCACGCGGCACCATCGGCAACAGCCAGAAGCGCGACACACAAACCGCCACCACCAGAGCAAGGCTGCAGCAGCCAGGCCTCACATTTAAGAAAGTCACATAGTCCTCGATGGCCTGCAGCAAGCACCAGAGGCAGCAGCACCTCGCCGCTATGTTCAGAGCGGGCAGTGGGCCCAGCTCGGGTCAAATGCCGGGCTACCCCTTGCCACATACGCACACCACACTCACCCCCATCATGTGACCCCATCGGCCTCCACAAGCCCACCCTCTGCCCCTTCAGCCCCCCAGGCAGCGCCCCACCTGCTCCATGGACAAGAACTGCAGCCCCTCCAGGGTGAGGCTCTCCTCCTTGCCAAACGGCCAGCTGTTGCCGTAGTAGCGGTGCTGCAACAGCGCGGCGTGGGCCACGCAGTTGTGGGGAGGCATCGCACCCACCTCAGCAAGCAGCAGCGCCGCTGCTCTGCGCGCGGCGCACCTCTGCAAAGACGAGCAGCGCCCCAAATGCCTGGGCGCGCTCCCACATCAGCCCAGTGTTGTTGACGCCGTTGGCCACGTTGCCCTCGTTGCCGGCTTCACGCGCGCATGTGGGGGCATGGGAGGGAGCAGCTGGTGGAGCGCAGGGCTGGAAGGCAGGCAGGCAGGCAGGCAAGCACAAAGGCAGGCGGGCAGGTGGGGGTGCGTAGGGAGGTGTTGGCTGCACCCAGCACCCACCATAAAAGAAGATTGGGGCATAGGGGTCCTCTCGGTCCCAGTACTGGTCGCACAGGAAGTAGCGCTGGCGCCAGGTGGGCTTGCCGCTCACGTTGTTGGTCTGCACGGCCGGCAGGGGCGAGGGAGGCGCGGGAGGCGTCGCGGCGGGCCTCGGCTGGCGCACACTTGCAGTGCCCGCCAAGAGCAGCGCGCGCAGCAAAGGGCAGGAGCAGGTCAGTACTGCAGCGCTCGCCTGGTAGTTGAAATGGTCCACCTGTTGCTCCTCGTAGAAGAGCTCGCTGCAGTTTGCGGTGGAGGGGCGAGGCGGCGGCGGGCCACCCGTGTCGCCGCCCGCTGCAGCCCCCTCCGCCTGCAGCACCCGCGCGCCGGCGCCGCCGTACGGGGCGATCAGGAGCACCACGAGGCCCAGCAGCACTGGAAACCAGCGCATCGTGCACGGTTCAGCCGCCACTTAGTTTAGTTTGTGCCGAGCGGTGGACGCTTGTTGTCAGCCTCTATATCCTTTAAAATGGTCGGAAAACTTGTGGTAGGTCAGTGCACAACGGTTTCCGAAACGGAGTGTGCAATTGCCCTCTTGTGGCGCTGACTTTCCAGCCGGCGGCTCCGCCGTCCCCAGGACACTGTCGGCACATCCATAGGCCCTGTGTGTTCGTTACACCTCTAAATCGAGTGATCGAGTGTAATAATAATATAATCATGTAAAGATGAAGAGCGGCAGGGTAATCTTGCAGGGTGGCAACGTATTGCGGCAAGGGCAACGTGTATTGCGTCAAGGGCCAGATGCTGGGAGTGCAGAGAAATGTAAAGCGACAATGTAAAGTACAGCTTGCAAATGTGCAGCAGAACACCAAAACCACAGCTGACGCGCGTCACAGCCTGCCAACGGCGCTGGGCCCGCTCGCCGCCGCTATTGCCGCTGCCGCCGCCGCCGCTGGCGCCTGGCCGCGGGGCACGGGCGGGCCGGCGCCCTGGCTCTGCTGCCAGTGTGCGCCGGCGCAGAAGGCGCCCAGCAGCACCAGCAGCGCCGCGGGCACCCAGCGCAGGTGTGAGCGCCGCTCGGCCCGCGCCCCCCGCAGGTGCGCCAGGAACTCGTTGCGATCCCGCCTGGCAATTCTCTTCATAGCCTCGAAGTCGCGCTGCCTCGCCGCCTCGGCCGCCTCTGCCGCCGCCAGCGCGGCCGCCAGCAGCTGGTTGCGCTCCCGCATCTGCTCCAGAGCAGCCGCCAGCTCGGCGGTGGTGGCCTCATCCAGCCCGCTGCCGCCGGCTGCCCGCTTGTAAGCAGCCGCCTGCTCCGCCAGCTCAGCGATGGACACTGCAGGAGGCGGGGGAGGGGTGGTGTGTGGATAGCGTGTGGTGGTGGATAGCGTGTGGTGGTGGTGGTGGATTGGCAGGGAAGCACAGGTGTTCCCCGAGCGCATCCGCTACATTTCCCCAGAGCGACAGCCTGTTGGCCAAGGCTCCATTCCAGCCTGGCTGGCAGGTGCGGCAACCCGCCCCACCTGAGATGGCGCCCTGCCACCGCCCAGTGCACAATTCGCACACAAGGTTGTCCCTGCCATTCTCGGAGAGGATCCATTGCAGCAGGCAGCGGTCGTGCACTCCCGTCGTGCAGTGGCAGTGTAGCGCGATGTGGCCACCTGCACGTGAGCGGCGAGGGGACGGTCGGCGGTGGCGGCGGCAGGTTGCGGGCAATGCCTGCAATCAAGGGCGGGGCGCTGCTCACCCGGCCTTTCGTCTTCCTCCTCCCAACACACTCTGCAGAGCGGGGCGTCGCCCGCGTCTGAAGTCGATGCGGACATCCCGCTAGGGCGTGGGCTAAAAGGTGGGGAGGCCCGGCGGCGAGATGAGGGCCCGAATGCGAGGTTTGCAGGGCCCCGCAGCTCGGAACCGCTCACATGAGGCGAAGTTGGCCAGCTAAGCAGCCGGCGCCGGCGCTGCGCCCCGGGAGCGCGCCGTTGCTCTTGTGTGCCATGCGTTTGCTGTCGTGTTCCATGTTGCTTGTGCTTTAGAATCAAATGATGTGAAAAGAGGGAGCGATTGCAGCAAAGGGAAGAGGACGCGTGCCCCGCCGCCCTGCGTCTCGCCCTCCCTTCAGCGCCACTCAAGCAGTGGTGCTGTCGCGCACCCTGCATGGGCAATTTGGCGGCCAGCAGTCGGAGATCAGACACCCGCAGAAGCCAGCGCCTGAGCTTGGGCTGGGAGCGCCACGACGGCCGCTGCGCCCTCGCCCGCAGCCCCCTCACCACTGGAGGTAGGTGTCGCTGCCGCCGGTGACATCCACCGCCACCACCTCGCACTCCTGGTACGGGTGCAGCGCCTTGACCGCCGCCGTCAACTCCCCGACCAGCGCCTTTCGCGTCTTGATCTTCAGCAGCAGCTCCGCATCCGACTGCACCTTGCCCTCCCACAGGTACACAGACTCCAGGCCTGCAGGCAGGCAGGGGCAGGTGCTGCGGGGCAGGTGATGCCAGATGGTGGCAGGGACGTTGGGTGCAGGACAGGTGAGGCCAACCCCGCACTGGCAGCCCCTGCAGCGTTCAGCTCCAGGGCCATCCGAACATCAAAGGAGACACGAATGCAGGCGGTGGTGGCAACGGCAGGCATGCGGAAGCGGTAGGGCCCGGCCCAGGGCGGCTGCGGCTGCGGCGGCGCACCCGGAATGATGTTCACGCAGGCCGCCAGCTTGCCCTCCACCAGGCTGTGCGCAATCTTCTGGCCCACTGCCTTGCTGGGCACTGTGACAAACACCACTGACACCCCGGCCGCCGAGGCGGCGCCGCCGCTGCCGCCGCTCGTGGCCGCCGTGCTCATGGCTGCAAGCTGCCGCACCGGTTGCCTCCTTACTGCAGGCAGCGGGCGGGAGGGGCTGAGGCGACAGGATGACACATGGAATGGGCCACACGCTGCACTTCACGCCTTCCTGCCTGGCGGGGTGGCGGCACGCCCGCCGCCCGCATCCCCTATGGCAATTGTGCAGGCGCATCAGGCCCGAAGCTGCAGCCACACACCTGCCAGTGCACCCAGCACGCTAACTCTGCCTGCAGCTCGCACCGCCAGAGCAAGCACCATGCCACGACAAGGGTGCAGCGCCAAGCCCCTCTTCGTGATCCTCCCTGCGCACCTGCATGTGCAAGCAGCCACAGGGCTGCAGAGATTGCCAAGAAAGTTGCGAAGGCTCGGACAAGGCCCATGCGCCTGCCGAAACCCTGCAGTCGCTCCGAGCACCCACCTCCGTTCAGGGAATCACTAGTTACAAAGGGGAACCATGCAGGGGCCGCTGTAACTCCGGTCAGCGCCAGGTGGCTGGGGGCGGGCGCCAGCAAGGCGGGGCGTTGCCATAGCGGCTGGGGTTCCGACATAAAAATGCGGTTTACAGCAGTCTTCGACTAAAGTGGCCAAGATTTACCAGAAAATGATACAAAGGAGAGAGAGGTTCTGGCTGAACTCAAAAAGCAATGCGCGGCACATGCGGCCTGAGGACGGGCAGGGCAGAGGCGGCGGCGTCCGACACACATGATCGAACAAAGACCAGGGGATGACAACGGGTTAGACAAGCATGTCGAGTTAATGTGGGTTTGAAAAGCGTCAGCAGAGGGTTCGGGGCAGTAAACTGGGGGGCAAGTGTGAAAAACGGGCATCACAGCAACATGGGAGCAGCGATGAGTGGGCTTGAGGGCAAACAAGCAAGAAAATGTAAGGGCTGAATTCAAGTTCCCAGGGAGTGTTCTTGCCGCTGAATGTGCTTGGGTTAGCTGAAAGAGGGGCTAGTGCGCTTCTACCGCTGCAAACCGCAGCCTGCTGCTGGGCTGCGCTGCAACTGCAGCTGCTGCATGAGCGAAGCTTGCTGCTGCTGCTGCTGCTGCTTGGGCGGCTGTTGAGCTCACTTGCGGCGGAGAGCCGGCGGCACGCCTGTGTCTGAGACAGGCATGAACCTCATCAGACCCGGGCTGCGCAGCGCAGCTGCCTGTCGGTCATGAATCAGGATGGGAGCAGCCTCTGCCGGCTGGCCTGCCCAACGTGTCGGCGCCAGCGCTTCCAGCACCGCCGCCGCCGCGCCCACGCGTTCGCCCAGCTGCAGGCCGCTGTGCCAGGCCTCCGCCTCGCTGTCGCGCCCGCTGCCGCTGCTGAGGTCGGCAGACAGCAGGGCGGACAGGCTGGCTCCCTGCACGTGTGCCGAGGGGGTGGGCGGATAGCTGGGCTCCTCCGCCGCCATGCACACATCGCCATGGCTCGTTTCCCCCGAGCTGCCCTGCGGCGCTTGCTTCTGCGGCGCCACGGGCGCGGCGGGGCTGCAGCAGCGGAGCTCTTCTGGAGCCTCACTAGGCCAACCCTGGGCTACCTGCGCGTCACCGGGCCCAAGCAGGGCAGGGTGTCAGCAATCCAAGCAGGGAGAGCTGACCTAACCGTGTACTGGCAGCAAGCGCGCCGCAGGTGCCCTCGCCCCGCAGGGTGCTCAGCTGGGCCGCGGGGCAGGCACACACAGAGCGAATCATCAACAGCACAGGCAGATAGCACAGATGACCACCTTGAGGTGCTGTTCTGGTGGCGCTGGTTTGTGGGCCCAGGGCGCCTGGTGTAGCGGCGCCTGGGCTGCGCCAGCGCTGGTGGGGCCAGTGCAGGGGTCACCGTCCCCATCGCTGCGCGCGTCTGAAGCATGACAGACCGCCCACATGGACACTGGAGGCAGTGCCTGGCGCAAAGCTGTGCTAGCAGCGAAGGAGGTGGAGGGTGTGACCACAGGATGGCAGCCAAGCTCTGGGAGAAGCGTATTATGAGTCCGACATACGGTGAGGAGACGTTGGGCGATTCAGCGGGGAGGATAATGACCAAATCAGGAAGGAAACCCTCAGGAAGAAGCGTACTGCTCCAAAGCCCTCCGGAGCCGAATGATGCGGATCGAAAACCGTTTTCGTGCGGGTTTGCCGCATGGATGCAACCCAAAAGCAACATCAAGGCCTGGATCGCAAGCCCCAATGCGCTCAGAGCCAGGGAGGGCGTGTTGGGGTGGGAGCGTACGAGGTGCCACCCCTCAGCAGTGCTCGGGGGTTGGAAGCCACGTGGAGAACAATTGAGGCCTGGCTTGCTCTGGAGCTGCCTCACAGCTCTCAGGGGTGCCATATGAGATGGCAGATTTGCCCCTTGCCTGGTGCACTCCAGCCGGTGGGAGCGCCGGGAGCGCCGCCAGCCCTAGTGGCCCGCCCGCAAGTGGCCCCCGCTGTGTGGCCCCCTCAAGGGGAGGGGGCTGTGTGGCAGCTTGCGCCTCGGGGCTCAGACTAAGAGAGATCAGCATGTTCCAGCGTGCTGATTGGTAGGCATGCATCATGGGAGCATCAGCCGCTGCTATTAAGCGTCGCCGGCGCCGTGGCCGCTCTTCCCCCTGCCGCCGGCGCCGGCGCCGTGCCTGCTGCGCTGCCGCTACCGCGGCACCCGCGCCTGCAGCCAGCCTGCCGTTACAGCCGGCAGCCCCCCCCGGGCGCTCAGCGCTTCTTGCCGCGCCTGCCGTCTGCGCCGGGGCCGCGCCGCTGCGAGGCCGCCGCCTGCGTCGCCGCCTCGGGCACCGGCAGCAGGGTGCCGCCATCCAGCTCTCCGCCGGCCCCTGCCGCCTCTATCGTCTGCCGCGCCTCCAGGAACACCATCAGGTCCCGAACCTGGGCCCGGGGCGCGCGTCGAGGAGCAGGGGAGGTGACCAGCGAAGCGGCCAGGTGGTGGGGCATGCGGGCACATGGCGGTGCAGCGGGGGCCGGCGGCAGCCGCCTGGGGAGAGGAGGGCTGCGCACATGCGGCACCGCACTCTGCGCCCACCACCTGCCCCACGGGCACGCCCTCCGCCCCGCACACCTGCTCTTGCAGCTCCCGTACCGCAGCATCCTTCTCCGCCGCCGTCTGCGCCAGCTTCTCCTCAGCTGCCTTGAGCCGCGCCTGCGGCACCCCCAGCCCAGCAGGCACGGCTGGCAGGTGAGTCCCCGGTGGGTGCGACAGCGGCTGGCTGGGGCCACTGAAAATTTGCTCAGCAGCAGCAGCGCCATACGCCAACACCCTGGCTGACCACGCAATAGCTGGCCGCCCAGAGGCTGCTGCCAGTCATCAGAGCCAGCCCCAGCCCAGCAGCAGCCAGCAGCACCAGTCGAGCCAGCCGAGCCAGAGCCAGAGCCAAGCACCAAGCGACAGGAGCCAGAGCCTGCAGGGCCAGGCAGCACCAGCGGCGCCAGCAGCGGCAGCAGCGACAGCGAGGCATCAAGGAGGCCCCAGGCCTTGCCTGGAAGTCCTTTTGGTTTGCCAGCAGGCTGTCGCTGAGCTGCCTCAGGAACTGCCGCTCCTCCTCCGCCCGCTGTAGCCGCCCGCTGGCGTCCGCCTGCGGCGCGGGGTGCGGCACAGACCCGCAGTGTTGAAGTGGTGGGTGCCGGGAGGGCTTAGGCGGCGGCGGCAGCGGGGATCCAGCACTCGCTCGCACAAAGGGCGGTTGGCCAAGCAGGCGTGGCGGCCACGTTCCCTTCTAACAGGCAGCAGCTGCTCAGGGGACTACCTCCTCCACCCTCCCCCAGGCCATCCTGCCGCCAGCAGCAGCAGCAGCCCGCGGACCCACCAGCTTGCTCTCCGCCTGCCTCCGCCGGCGGTCGGCCTCGGCGGCCGCGGCGCGCGCCGCCGCCGCCACGTCCTTTGCCGCCGCCGCCGCCGCGCCCGCCGCCGCCGCCTCCGCCTCCGCCTCCGCCGCGCGCCGCACCAGCAGGCCTTCAAAGTACTGCCGCTGGCTTTCCAGCTGGGTCACCAGCAGGTGATTATACTCGGTGGCCAGAGCATCCAGCTTGCTGCGGGTGCACAGGTGAGGAGCAAGGGGGCGATTGGGCAAGCAGGCGGTGTGGAGGATGTGTATGTGTGTATGTGCATATGTGCGCATGTGGTGGGTGTGGATGGGTGCTGGCGATGGCGCGTGCGCAGCAAGCCGGCAGCGACCAGCAACCAGCGTTGAAGAGGCGCCGCCGCCGCCTCCCATCGCGCCACGTCCATGCTCGGCCGGCCGGCGCGAGTACTCCACACCCAGCCAGCCAGCCACCCACCTGAGCACCATGGCCTCTTCCATTTCCGGGTCGCCGTAGCACTGCTCGCTGCCGCACTCTGCGCCGCAGGCGGCGGCGGGTGGGCGCGGCGCGTGGCGTGCGGCGTGGCAGGGGTGGGACCAGGGGGCCAGGGGGCAGGCAGGCAGAGGCAGGGCGCGCAGGGCGGCACATCCCATCCCGGGCGGCGAGGAGGAGAAAGAGGCAGCACCGCACGCACCCGAGGCGGCCGCCGGCCCGCGGCTGGCGGGGCGCCCGCTGCACCCCGCCTGGTTGTGCTGCGCTGGCGAGGGCACCTGCGGGGGCGGGCAGGCGGGGGAGGAGCGGGTGCGGCGTTCTCGCTGGGTGCTGGGTGCTCGTTGCCGCGGACGCAGCCGTCCCGGCGGGCGCACCATGCTCGACACGTCCCGCGCCGGCCACACACACCGTGCGGCCCGCCAGCAAAGGAGCGGCAAAGGAGCAGGCCCACTGTGGCCCCATCCCTCCCTCCCTCCCTCCCCTGGCTCCACCTCCCCCCGCCCGCCCACCTCCACCAGCTTGCCGTCCGTCTTGCTCTGTATGAGGCGGTGCACGTAGCTGTCGTTGACGTAGTCCCACACACGCTGCGGGGGGGAGGGATGGGGTGGTGTGTGTGTGTGTGTGTGTGTGTGGAGGAGGCGCGCAAGGCAGGGAGGCACTTGCTCCAGGCGTGCGCTTTGTCCGGGAGGGTTTCCGGGAGGGCCCCACACACATGCCATGCCTCCACCCCATCCCACACTCCCACACACGCACCCTCCCCCCCTGCACCCCGCACCTGTGTCTCCAGCTCCAGAGCGTACCCGTGCCCGCTGGCCTGCCAGTGGCCCGCGGCGTGGGAGCCGCGGTACCGCCCGCACCCCACGTGCCCGCAGATGAGGCAGATCCACAGGTCTGCGGGCGAGGCAGCAGCAGAGGCGGGAGGCGTGGGTGCGGAGGCGGCGGCGATGGCGAGCGGGGACACGTGACCCTCACCCCACCACCACCACCACCACCACCACACACACACAGTACCCGCCACAACGCCACAATTCCCTGCCCACCTGCCGAGGTGCTGCAGACCGCGCAGTGGCTGGTGGTGGCGTTGGAGTGCTGGCAGTAGCGGCACACCGGGCAGGAGGTGTCGCCCCACTGCCGCAGGCACTCGTTGTGGAAACGGTGGTTGCACACCTACACCAGCTCGCAGGTGCGGGCCGCGGCGCTGGGCGCACACACGCCTGGCCCCCGGAAGACTCACGCAGCGCAGCCAGTTGCCAGCAAGCCACCCTCCCACCCCCCTGACACAGCCACCGAGCCGCCCACTTCGCCCGCACACCAATACGCACCAGGGCTGTCCGCCACAAATCACAGGGCTGCCCGCCCCAGCCACCATGCCCACCCACCGTGGTCACAATGCCGCTGATGTGTTCATCCAGCCGCTCCAGGCACACGGGGCAGGTGGGGAGCTCCGTGGTGCCGGGGGGCGCCCTCAACCCGCCGCTGCTGCCACCGCCGCCCTGCTGCTGCTGCTGCTGCTGCTGCTGCTGCGCCAGCCCCGTCGCTGCCGACACCGCCGATGCTGCCGGAGCCTCGCCCCCGGCCTCTGCCGCCTGCTGGCACTCCACCTCTTTGACATACACCAGCCGGCACAGGATCTCCGGCTCAAGCATGCAGAACTGTGGTTGGGGTAGGCGGGCAGGCGGGCAGGCAGGAGGAAGCAGCGGGCAGGCAAGAGTGGGAGGCAGGGGTGGGCGGGGCATCGACACCCCTCTCCCCAACCCTTGGCCCTGCTCCGCTCCACTCTGCCTTGCTCTCTCCTGTCGCGTCGGCTGCCCTGCACACCGCTGCCCTGTGCTTGCTGCGCTGTGCTGCTCCGCGCTCCGCGACTCACCGCTCGCCCGTTGTAGTCTCGGTAGAAGTCGTCGGCCGCCTGCTGCGCACCAAAGCGCAGCAGCACGAGGCACACGCTGCCGCGCCCCTCCCGCCGCACCAGCCGCACCTCCCGGACCTGCGCCCGCGGGGTGCAGCCGCAGCCGCATCAGGCGTGCGGCCTCCCAGGCATGCATGCATGCATGCATGCACGCATATCGTGTGAGGAACCATCGCGTGCGTGCGCTGGCTTGCGCTGTCGAGCGCTGCTGGCTCAGGCTCATGTGGCAGCATGCCACCCCTCAGCGGCAAGCCCCGCCACCGCCCCCAGGCTCAAGGCAGCGGCAGGCCATCCAGCCCCAGGCTCAACAAGGCCTGGCTCACGTGCTGGAAGTAGGCCCCCATGAAGGTGCACAGCTCCGCAAAGCCCATGTCGGCGGGCAGCGCCAGGATGCACAGGTGCGCGTTGCGGCCGGGCTGCGGTGGGGCCGGGGCAAGCAGAATGGAGGGAGGGAGTCGTGGTGGGGAAGAGGTGGTGGGAGTCACAGAGGAATAACAGAATTACCCTCAGCAAATCGCAGCATGGACTGGTATGCAGAGCTCTGCCTCCCCGCAGGCACCACATGCCCGCCAACACCCCACTCCGCTACCGTCTGCGGTCTCACCGGCAGGTCGGGGTGTTGCCGTGCCGCCGTGGGCGAAGCCAGGTCACTTGACGCCGCCGGCTCTATCTCGCTCCTGAGGACGCTGGCGGTCTGCTGCTGCTGCTGCTGCTGCTGCTGCTGCTGTGCGGCTGGGTGCTGCCCTGCCACGGGCGTGCCGGCGGCGGCCGAGGCGCCGGGCGGCGGCAGGTGTCGGAACAGCGAGACCCGGCCCACCATGTGCTCCACCCTGGGGTTGCCTGCTGAGAAGTTGACGTGGTCTACCTCTTCTGCTTCCGCGGCCGCCAGCGCTCCGGCTGGGGGCGGGGTGGCCGAGGGCGAGGGCTGGCCGCTGCCGCTGGCGCCACCGCCGTCGGCGGCGCTGCCCGCAGCCACGGCGGCGTAGCTGGCGGCCTGCCGCGGCGCGGCCTTCACCCTGATGGTGTACATATCGCCGGGTGTGCGGCCAGAGCTCAACGCCGGCTCCTAGTGTCTTCTTGTGATCCAGCTGCGGGGAAGCCTTGGCAGATGCAGTCGGTGCGCACTCCAGCTGCCTAATGAGACAAGAGCGCTCTATGTGCGCCAGCGGGAACCATTCTGAAGGCCCCATGGCTTGATGCTGAGCTGGCTACCGTCCAAAACCCCATGCCTTGTCCAAAGCCCCCGATTGACGCTTTATCATTCTTTCTGCGTCGTGCAGCCGCAGATCTGCATGGGCAAGGGGGCTTATGCGCCGAGTTTGAAGGAGACCGGACCGGCAGACCGGCGTCCCTGTCCAGGCGCTGCCCAGCGTCGATGGCACGATGGCAGGGTGCACATGGCGGCGCCCTGCGGCTGGCAGTGCTGGCAGCGCTGCTGCTGGCCGCTCAGGCGCGGCCTGTGCCCCAGCTGGCCGAGCCAGACTACACCCTTTACCACACCAAGTGAGCCGGCAGCCTGGCTGCGGCACCAGCCGGCCTGCAGGGGGCCGCCAATAGCGCCGCCGCTGCCTCATGGACGCTGTGCCCGCCGCTCCGCTGCCTGCGCCCAACCGTACCTGTAAAGCGCATTGCCCTGTGCATCGCTCGATCGTGGGCCTGGCTGTTCTGTTTGCAGGGATGGGGTGTTTCAGGCGGTGCGTGAGATCGTGGCGGGCTGCCCAGCCATGATGCGGGTGCGCCTGCAAGCGGCGGTTGAGCACTGGCACAAAAGCAGTGATGCATCATCTGCGGCATTGCTGCATGCTAGCTGTCGGTGCCTGCCGTTGGCATCGACTGCGAGGCAGCGGCCGCCGTTGCTGCCCACTCCCAACTGACGGCGTCTCGATTCACCTGGTTCTGCCTCGCACTGGTTCTGCCTCGCTGCAGATAGATGAGGAGTCCCAGACGGATGGTAACTACACCTCGGCGCTGACTGTGGTCACAGTGGAGCCAGCGGGGCTGAGCAGCTCACACGAAAACAAAGCCCGCCTCCTCCTGGTGCGCTAGGTTGCGTGTGGCTCCTGCCTGCCTGCCTGCCTGCCTGCTGGCCTCCTGTTGCCTGCTTGCCCTGCGAGCCGTAGCCGCTGTGCTGCTTTGTCCAACCCCTGCTGCTGCAACAGCTGCTGCTGCTGCTGTCGCTCGCTCATCAGCAGCCTTGCCACTCTGCTAATTGAGCATTCACACCTTGAACTGCTCCCTGCCAACCTCTCTGCCCACCCACCACCCGCCCACCCACCACCACCCTGCACTGCGTTTGCCTGCCGCAGAACTTTGGGGAGCATGGGCGGGAGCTGATTTCGTCGGAGATCGCGCTGCACCTGCTGCGCCTGCTGTGCGACGAGGGCGCCCGCCTCCCGCTGCTGCACAAGTTTGGCATCCCGCCCGCGGACGTGCACCAGCTGCTGCAACGCACCGTGTTCAAGGCGCGAGCCGTTGCTCTGCTGTGCGGGAGCGCCGTCTCGGGAGCGCCGCCTCGCTTGCCTGCCTTCGTTGCTTTGCACCAACTTGCCAGCTCCTGGGCCTCCTGGTGGCTGCTCTTGTGGCTACATGGCTTCCTGCTTTTGCCTTGCTGTGCTGCTGGCCTCGCACAACACATGCACGCATGGCTGCCGCTGCTCCTCCGACCGTGCAGGTGGTTCCCATGGAGAATGTGAGGGGGCGGGAGCGTGTGGAGCGGGGCGAGCTGTGTGAGCGCAAGAATGGGCGCGGGGTGGACCCCAACCGCAACTGGGAGGTGCACTGGGGCTTCAAGGAGAAGGGTGAGCCCGGACCCAGTAGTGGATGTGTGCGTGTGGGGCCGGTGTGTGGGGCTGTGTGCGGGTGCGCGCGACTGTGCTGCCGCAGCCCAGGCAGGCACGGCTGTTGCACGGCTGTTGTGCCTACCCGCCATGCGTTCTGCGCTGGGCATGTTTCCCGCAGCCAGCCGCTCTCCTGCACGCCCTCTTGTAGCGACTGACCGCCCACATGCCCCCCACACCCCACACGCAGACTACGACCCAAGGGAGGAGTACCCCGGCTCCGCACCCTTCAGCGAGCCCGAGGCGGCGCTGATGCTGGGCGTGGCGCGCGCGCTGCGCCCGCACGTCTGGGCCAGCGTGCACAGCGGCATGGAGGCGCTGTTCATGCCATACGACCACGTGGCCACGGTGCCGGGTGAGGCGTGGGGAGGCGGCCGAGAGGTGCTGCACTCTGGTGGGCTGGGGCTGGGACTGCGGCTGGGGGCTAGCACACTGGTGCTAGCAAAACTCCTGGGCGTCCCTGCTGGGCTGCCAGCGCGGCTGCCTTTGGTGGGCTTGGTCCAGCTTGCTGGCTGCTGGGGCGAGCGGAGCCCCTGCTGCCCTGGCCTGCGCTCAACGCGCCTTGCCTGAATGCCACGCCCCGCCGCCTGCTCGCGCCCTGCCTCCCAACCTCCTGCAGAGGGGGAGGGCCCCGCGGCCACTCTGTCCATCCTGCAGCAGATCAACCAGCGCACCTGCAAGTCCAAGTGCGCGGTGGGGTCGGGCGGCAAGAGCGTCGGGTGAGCAAAGCGGCGCACGCGGCCGGCCTGCATAGCCGCCGCCCCGGCTGCAAAGCCAAAGCCAGGGGGCAGCCGAGCCAGCCTTTGTGCCCGCTTGGCTACCCCATGCGCCCACCCAAGCAGTTGGCAGGTGGTGCGGGGTTGGCGGGTGCGGCCGCCTGGTCGGCGCTCATCGCAGCGCCGGGTACTGCAGGTATCTTGCCCACGGTACCGCCACCGACTACATGTACGACCGCCTGGGCGTGCCCATCCCCATGACCTGGGAGGTGTACGGCGACCAGCGGGCAGCCTACGAGGACTGCTTCCGCATGTTCAACCCGCTGTCCCGCCAGCAGTACAACGCCACCGTGGAGTCGTGGACCGCCGCCATCTTCACCCTGCTCACCCTGCTGCCCCAGCACCCGCAGGTGCAGGGAGAGCTGCACCTGCCGGGCGGGCCGGGCGGGGCTGCTCTGGAGGGCGGCGGCCCGGGAGGGGCGGGCGCGGCGGGCCGAAATGTGGCTGGAGACAGCGGGAGCGGTGCAGAGGCAGGGGGTGGCGCAGGTACACGTGGTAGCGCAGGGGCGTTGGGGCGGCGAGGAGATGCCGGGGGCGAGGGCGCCAAGCAGCAGGAGCAGCAGCAGGAGCAGGCTGGCACGGTCGCCGGTGGGACCGGCGGCGGCGACGGCGGCGGCAGCCAAGCCAGCCAGGAAGGCGGCAGCGGCAGCGGAGGCCAGGATGGCAGCAGCAGCAGCTCTGCTGACAAGGCGATTGAGATAGCATCAGCCCTCAAGGAGCACTTGCAGCAGCAGCAGCAGCAGGAGCAGCATGAGGGCGACGCGGGAGCTGAGAAGCGGCAGGAGCAGCAGCCCAGCGGCGGCGGCGCGGCCGAGACAGCGTCGTCGAGCGGCCAGGGCGCCGGCGGGCAAACGGCGGCGCCAAAGCGCAGCCGAACGCTGTCGACGCTGTACTGGCTGACGGTGTTGGTCACAGGTGGGTGGCCGATGGCCTGTCCCTCTGGCAGGCAGGCCCCCCAGCTCTGAGTTGTTCTGGCTGGATCAGCTGTGGTCTGCCGCTTTCGGCCAGCGTTGTGCCAGGCAAGCACGGCACTCTCAAGCTCGGCGCGATTCTTTTTGCTGGGCTGAGGCGTGGCCCCCTTTCCCATGGCTGCAGGCTCCGTGATCGCCAGCTACTTGTGGAGCAAGCCTCGAGTTCGCTACCAGCTGAGCAAGTGGCTGGGCAGCAGCCGGCGTCGAGCACGCGGCGTCGTTCCCCTGTGATTCATTTCAGCACTGATCTTGTGCACCATCCACCTCTCCCTCAGTTTTATGTTTGGAGGGGCATGCTGCAATCGCCAAAACTGTCTGTCTCACTGACAGGGGAGTTGGCCTCTGCCGCCAGCTGCCGCCAATGGCGGCGCTGGGGGATGGAAAGCGGCCGGGGCATTGCTGCGCAATTGAGCTTTGGTCGCGGTCTCATCAGCTCATCGCTGCGTTGTTGGCGCTGTGGGTGCCTCTGTGCAATTGCTCTTGTGGCCAGCAGCTGCTATCGTCTCTCGACCTCGCCAAGCCAATAGGCGGATCCTGATGAAGCTGGGTGGACTCGCCAGGCAGGGCGTGGCGTGTGCCGCAGGCAAGCGGGAATGCCTGCGGAACTGGGGCTCACCACATCCTGCCGCCTCTTGCGTCACCTGTGGCGCATTGGCAAAGCGCCACAACCTGATCACCACAACGCTCGCCTTGCTGCAGGCTGGCCCCACGCCGCCGCCCGGCGGGCGCCCGCCACCGCCGCTCCTTGCCTGCGCCGGGCGCTGGCTGCGGCGCGGCAGCAGCAGCGCGGCCCGGCGGGCCGCCGTGCCATGAGCGTGCGTGCAGAGGCCGTCAGCGGCAACGGCACAACGCCCAAGGAGTTTGATTTCGACCTGTTTTGCATCGGCGCCGGGAGCGGCGGCGTGCGCGCCTCGCGCGTGGCGGCGGGCACCTACGGTGCGTGGCGCCGGCTGCAGTGCTGCTTGCTGCGCTTGAAGCAGGCCCACCCGCGGCACGTGCTGCTCACGCCTGCGCAGGGGGCCCGCCGCCGGCCTCCAAGGCCGCCAGCCGCCCATGCGTCGCCCATCCTCGTCGCCCTGCCTCGCGCCGTGCTCCTCCCCTCGTGCAGGCGCCAAGGTGGGCATCTGCGAGATGCCCTTCAACACCATCGCCTCCGACTCCGCCGGCGGCGCGGGCGGCACCTGCGTGCTGCGCGGCTGCGTGCCCAAGAAGCTGTTTGTGTATGCGGCAGAGTACCGGGAGTTCTTCTCCGACGCTCAGGGCTTTGGGTGGGTTGCGGGTGCTGGCTGGCTGGCTTGCTGGTGGTGGGGGCGGCTGCCGGCACCCCGCCTTGGGAGTCGTACAGCCCCGGCACACCTCGCCAGGGCGTGCTCGGCCTGGCTCGTGAGCTGCGCATGGCTTGAGGCCACCCCGCCGGAAGCAGTGCTCCCCCACTCCCATGCTGCCCTGCCTGCCTCTTGACCCTCCCATGTGGTGTGGTGCGTCCGACCCTGCGAGCAGGTGGCAGCTGCCCGGCCAGCCCAGCCTGGACTGGCCCTCCTTCCTGGCCAAGAAGAATGCGGAGCTGCAGCGCCTCAACGGCGTTTACATGAACCTGCTTAACAACTCCGGTGTGGAGGTGAGGCGCTGGGTGGAGAGGCTGGGTGGGTGGGTGGGCGGCGAGGGCGTGACGGGGGCGGTGGGCAGGTGCGTGCGTGCGTAGCGATGGGTGCACGGCGGTGGGGCGAGGTGACGGGGGCTGGGGCGTGCCGCAGCGTGCGTGCACGTCGGATGGGCGAGCGCCACGGCGCCTTGCGCGGCGAGGCCGTGCAGGGCGCTCCTCCGCTGCCCCCCGCACCCCCTCAGCCTCCCTCCTCCCCCACGCCCGTACCACCTCCTGTGCAGTACATCGAGGGCCGCGGGCGGCTGGTGGACGCGCACACGGTGCAGGTTGGCGACCGCACCGTCACCGCGCGCAACATCCTCATCGCCACCGGCGCCCGCGCCTTTGTGCCGCCCTTTGAGGGCGCCGAGCTGTGCATGATCAGCGACAACGCGCTGGAGGTGGCAGAGGTGGGCGGCGGGAGGGGGCCCTTGTCAGGTTGGGGTGGCTGGGTGGGTGCGTGTACAGGTGTAGGTGTGTGGATCAGGTGCTCGTAATTGGCGAGGAGCAGGGCAGGCTATGCTGCTGTCCAGTGGAGTGCCAGGTCTCACTGGCGGCCCCGCGCAGGGCAGGGGGTGGCCTCGGCTTGGCTCTTCCTCCCTGCCTGCCGCCCCGGGCAAGCCCCCTCCACACCTGTGCATCCCGCCACGCCACGCCACGCCGCCACGCCCGAGCCGTCACCACCATGGAACCCGCCTGCGCCCCTCTGCGCTGCCCCTGCCCCTAAACAATCGCCCGCAGGTGCCCAAGCGCATCGTGATTGTAGGTGGCGGCTACATCGCGGTCGAGTTTGCGGGCATCTTTGCGGGGCTGGGCAGCGAGGTGCACCTGGTGTACCGCCAGGACCGCCCGCTGCGGGGCTTCGACGACGAGGTGGGCTCGCTGGCGGTGGTGGTGTGTGCGCATGTGGTGGTGGCGCTGGTGGGACGTGGTGGTGACCTGGCGCAGCGGCGTGGTGGAGGCGGGCAGGCGGCGGTCGGGACCGCTTGCCCGGCGCTGCAACCCGTCGGGCTATCAGCAGCAGCAGCTCAACGCCTCCCCCCACGCCACGCCACGCCCCACAGCCGTCAAGGGTGCCGACCCCCCTGCCCTCTGCCGCTGCGCGTGCAGGTGCGTACCTTTGCGGCGGAGCAGTACGCCCAGAACGGCCTGCACCTGCACCCGCTCACCGTCCCGCAGCAGCTGGTCAAGCTGCCCGACGGCCGGCTTAAGTTCACGGGGGCGCGGCGCACGGGGGCGCAGGTGCGCAGGAGCAGGAGCGGGGGTGTGACGAATTGGGCTCGCCTGGGGGGTGGAGGGCGGCTGTCATGCATGCGCATGCGCCGCTTGGTGCCGCCGCCTTGGTTTCATGCACGTTGCTCAGCATGTACGCCTCCAGCCGCCAATCCGCACCGAGCTGTTGCCTCCCCTGCTGCCCTGTCCTGCCCTGCCCTCCCTGCCTGCCACCCGGCAGTCGTCGGATGAGGAGACGTTTGAGCTGGAGGTGGATCATGTGCTGGCAGCCACAGGTGGGGGAGGTGGGGGGTGGGGGGCCACAGTTGGAGACAGAAAAGGGTGGCATTTGGAAACACGGGGTGGGGTGCTGGGCAGGCTGAGCGCTGGGGAGTGTGTGTGTGGGTGGGTGGGTAGTGGCATGATGGTGGTGCATGGTGGGTAGGGACCCAGGGTGCACAGGGCTGTGTCGGCTCAGCTTTGCCTGCTTCTGAGCCCAGCCAGTCACAGCAGCCTACAGCCCCCCCCTCCCTGGCTGCCTCCTTGACCTCCCCCGCCTGGTGCTGCCTGCAGGGCGGCGCCCCAATGTGGGCAACCTGGGGCTGGAGGAGGTGGGGGTGCAGATGACGAAGAGCGGCGCCATCGCCGTGGACGACTACAGCCAGACAAACGTGGGTGGTGTGCTGTGCTGTGTCTTCGCGCGTGTGTGGTGGCGCTCGGGTGGAGGGTGCGGGGCAGCGCGAGGACGGGGGTGGGCGGCTCAGATACACCTGTGGCTGTTTGCTGTGTGGCGCACTCTCTGCAGGTGCAGAGCATCTGGGCCATCGGCGACGTGACCGACCGCATGGCGCTGACACCAGGCATGCCCGCACTGCCTGCTGCCTGTGGAGAGGCAGCGGCGCTGCCCACGCCGCCCCTTTCAGCGCCTGCCATCCGGCTCCTCGCTCACACCCCGCTTCCCCTGCCATGCGGCCCCCAACTCACCCCGCCTTCCTGTGGCGCAGTGGCGCTGATGGAGGCGATGGCGCTGACCCGCACCATGTTTGGGGGGGAGCCCACCGCGCCCGACCACGCCAACATCGCCACCGCCGTGTTCAGCCACCCGCAGATCGGCACCGTGGGCATGTCGGAGGAGCAGGTGGGGTGGGGCGCATGTCGTGTGTGTCGTGTGTGTGCGCATGCATGTGATGGTGTTGGTGGGAACGGGGGCGGGGTGGGAACGGGGGCAGGCGTGCTGTCGTGCTGGGCAGGCGGGTGCAGGGTCGGGAGGCCCCGCGGGTTGACGCTGCCACCCCGCTGCTGCACCAGCCGCAGGGCTGCGGCTGCCGGCCCGCCGACTCCTCCCTGCTGCTGCTGCCGCCCGGCTGTGTCGCCTCACGGCCTCATGTGGTACAATGCCTGCGTGGTACTGCAGGCTCTCGCTGCGTACGGCAACATCGATGTGTACACCAGCAGCTTCCGCCCCATGCGCAACACCATCAGGTGGGGGGGGGGGGCTGGCCTGGTCTGTGGCGCTGCACTGCGCTGACCTGGATGCATGCAGCCGCGCCGTGCGTGCTTTGATCATGGCGGCCTTGGCATGCCCAGCACTGCCGCGCCGCTGATGTTGGTTGCCCGAACGCCCCCGCTGCGCCGCGCCGCCGTTCTGCAGCGGCAACCCGGGGCGCACCTTCATGAAGCTCATCGTGGCGGCAGACAGCGATGTGGTGGTGGGCTGCCACATGGTGCGCGCCCCCGGTGCTGCCCTTGCTGCATGCTCCCGCTGGCAAAGCAAGCTTCCGGGGGTGCTGCCGGCTGGCCGCTCACCGGCTGTGTCGCGGGCGCTTTGCTGAGCCTGCCTTGTGAGCCCTTGCTGCCCGCTGCGAGTGCTCTTCTGCAGGTTGGCCCCGACTCTGCTGAGATTATGCAGGGCATGGGCGTGGCCGTGAAGATGGGGCTGACCAAGCGCCAGCTGGACTCCACAGTGGGCATCCACCCCTCGGGTGAGGCTGGCGGGCTGGGGCAGAGAGGGCTGGGGCTGGCATGGGAGGCCTGCATGGGCATCCCGGTCTGCAGCAGGGCTCCGGGCTGGACAGCAGGAGGCTGGCCATGGGAACAATGTGTGGCGACACCAGCTGCTGACCATGCGCGTGACGCCCACCTCCCGGTGTCGGTGCGCTGCCGCCTGCTGCAGCGGCGGAGGAGTTTGTGACGATGCGGTCGCCCACCCGCCAGCTGCGCAAGGAACCAGCAACCGTGGCAGCTTGAGGGGTCACCTGCTTGAGGGGTTCTTTTTGGCGTTGATTTTATTTTGCACTACTTCCGACTTGCCGAGAGAGCTGTCCATGTGTAATGCTATTTTGCGGCCTGGTGCAAGGGCAGGGCGGCACATTGCTGTTAATTTTCTGCTGTGTGTGCTGGCGTGCATCATGATTGGCTCGCATGTCCACCATTTGTCGCCAACCTGATGCCTTGTGATCAGGATCACATGTGATGCCAGGTCTGCCATCACAGCCAACGAGCTGCGGCTGCCCGGCAGCAAACCCGCAGAGCTGCGTTAAAGATTAATCGCAGAATATGGAGACAGGTGCGATCGCCTAGCAGGCCCACGGGGTTCCAGCTGTTAACCCATAACCCAGCAGACGGAGAGCGGTGGACGGTCATGATGGCACCGGAATCAGAATGAATTTTACGCCTGCAGGCGAGGGCAACCTTTTCATCCCCTCGGGGAGCCTGGCGTAAGGAACCGCCTTTCGTCCGATCGGACCCATCGATCCCGTTTACGATCTGGTCTGCTATGAAGAAGCGCTGGCGTCCGGAGGCTGACTTGAGAGTCGGCTGATGGCGCCTTGAAGCCAGCAGCAACGCGAAAGGTCGGAAACGAAGCATCGCACTGCTGCGGCGTTTCTGGCATGGCAGAGAGCCGTGGTCGAGGGCTCGGTGGGAGTCATCTGAAAGGGCGCGAGGGGGAACCTTTTTGCCCTCCTTTTGCTGTGTGCTACATTGCACTGTCCGTCCGCCGCTCAGTTAGCCGGGGAAGCCAGACCGCTCCAGTCTGCAGATGCTATAGATGAGGATGCTAGATGAGGCAAACGGGCACCTGGAGGCTGCGGGGCCCTTATCTGATGCGACTGTAGCCATCGGACTGCCCCCGCTGCCACCGCAACAGCAGCAGACTGCCATCGCCGCCGGCCGCCGTTCTCCCGCCACGCCCCACTGCCTTCCGGCGCCGCCCCTCTCATATTGAGGGGGATGGATAATTGAACATGAATGGCCGATCAATACACGCAATTTACAGTACAAGACTGGTTCTGTAGGACGTTGTGCTGCTGCGCCCAACCGCACTGGCGGCACGCTGTGCCCACCAAAGCGCACCGCCATGAAAACTGCGGCTGGTCACCCGCTGCTGCATCCACTCCATTCTTGCAATGCCACACGCCACAGCGTCTCCCCTGACCAGCAGCCGGGCCATCCTCTCCTGTGCCCTCCATGTGCCGCGCCATCCTGCTCGACAGGCACAGCGGCAGGCCCTGGCCGCACGCACATCAGCGCGCTCGTTGAGCCCAGCGCTAGCAGGCAGGCGCCGACCAGCTCCATCGCCAGCACCTGCCGCAGGCGGCGGCGCTGAGCAGGCGGACCTCCACCCCCAGCAACAGCAGCAGCAGCAGCAGGACCCCCTGGACTGGTCTAATCTGCAGGTCACCGTTGAGTTTGTGTTCACCGTCCAGGGGTGCTGCACGCTGCGGGTACACGGCCGCCTGCCAGGTGGGCGAGCAGCAGGAGGCCGAGGAGTGAAACCTGAAACCGCTCCAGCACTGTTTGGTGCTCCCACGCTCCCCTTTGAGCCTTGTGCCGCGCCTGCTGTGCCGCTGCAGACCCACACGAGGCGGGCACGGCGGCGGTGGTAGCTGCAGCGCTGGTCAACCTGCACAAGCGGCAGCGGGTGCTGGATGTGGCGGTGGCCTCCGCACGTGCGCAGCTGCCCGGGGCCCTGGATGCCGCCAGTGAGTGCTGTGCTCGGCGGCAGCCTGCGGCCTCTGTCGCGCTGCTGCCGGGCAGTTGCGCGCTGCAGATGGAGGCTGCTGACCTCCAGCTGCCAGCTCCCGCCCACTCCTGCAGCTGCTGACAACCAGCCGCCCTGTGCCCCACACGACATCTGCAGTGCTCAAGCGTTTTGATGAGCTGGCGGCGCAGGGCAGGCAGGGCGCGGCCATGGAGCTGCTCAGCTTTGGCCAGCTGCGCGCGCTGTGCAGCCGCTTTGCTCCCGAGCTGGTGGGTGGCCGGCTGGGAGGGCGGTTCAGGGAGGCGCCGCCTGTGCGCTTCGCTTCCCTGCCCCGTTGCTTCCTTCCTCGCTTACCTGCTTCGCTCAAGTACGGGGTGCCCTGCAGCGGGCATGTAGACGCCCTGCTGCCACTTGTAGGCAGTGCTCTGCCTGGTATTGCTGCCTCCTGCCGATTGCAGCCTGTGCTCTCCTGCTTCTGCCGCCGCCGCTCCTGCCGCTGCAGTGTGCCGAGGTGGAGGAAGAGATTCTGCAGCAGGCTGCACTGCTCAAGGCCCAGAACATGAGGCCAGCCCCGGCCGACAAGCAGCAGAGCAGCGGCGCCGGCAGAGGCACCGCTGAAGCCAGCAGCAGTGGCACAGCCAGCAGCAGCCCAGGCGGCGGAGACGCCGGTACTGGCAGTACCGCCAGGTTCAAAGTGCGGCCCGGCTTTGATCTGCCGACCGAGATGGTGCGACTGCCCAGGTGGCAGGGCTGGATGCGCCGCCTGAGGGATGCGGTGGTGGCCTGGCAGCTGGAGCAGCACCGCGCGCAGAAGCAGGCAGCCGATGCCGCAGCTGCGGCCGGCAGCGGCAGTAGCAACGGCAGCAGCGGCAGTAGCAGCGATTCCGTGGCAGCCAGCCAACATGCAGCCGCAGCCGCAGCAGCCGCAGCAGCAGCGCCGCCGCCTGCGCCGGCGGCAGCTGCTGCAGAGAAGGCAAAGGAGAAGGCGGGGTTGGTGACAGTGACGGGCGCCCCCAGCGGAAGCCTGCTGGCTTCCTTCTCCACCGCCTGCACCACGCCAGACGGCCAGCCCATGCGGCAAGAGGTCCGCATCGCTGTGGCGCCGCCCATCGGCCCGCAGCTGCTCAGCAAGGTGGGCATGTGCGTGAGTGTGTGTGTGTGGGTGTGTGTGGGTGGGGTGGGGGGGGGTTCAGAAGCCCGGCACATCAGCCATTCGCCACCTTCCACGTCAGCGCCGACCCCGCCGGCCCTCCCTGCCCTCCCCTGCCCCAACCCTGCTGTGGTGCCCTGCCCCCTGCTTGCTGCAGATCCGGGAGGAGCCCGGCTGGCTATCCAAGCTGGCCGTGTTGTATCCGGGACTCATGGCGGCTGCAGCCACGCCCGAGCGGCAGCTGCAAAAGGCGTTGGAGGCGACCGCTTGGCACCACATCCGCCTCGACCCCTCCTGCTCCTTTGCATGCACCCTGCACCCCGGCCCGGAGGAGGCGGGCAGCGCAGAGGCAGCAGCAGGCGCAGCACCATCGGGGGCGCCGCAGGGCGGTGCCAGCGATGCCGCCGGGTTTGAGTTTGGCGGGTGCAGCAACGAGCTCAGGGCGCTCATCTATGCTCTGGCATGGCTGCTGGACGTGCAGCAGGAGGGCGACGGGGAGTTCAGCGGCGAGTGGGTGCCGAAAGACGGCCGCATCCGGCTGCGGTGGCGCGGCGGCGGCGCGGGCGGCGGCTGGAGCCGGCCGTGGTCAGCGCCGCAGCAGCGGGGGGGCCTGGCCGCCAGCTACGGCTTGCGGGTCTGGCCCCCGGCGCCAGACGGCAGCACGCAGCTGCCTGCGGAGGCTGCCGACGACCCACGGCTGGAGCAGGAGGCACGCACGACGGAGCTGAGTCAGCGCCAGCTGGATGCACTGCTGGACTGCCTCGACGCCTTCTCCCACCAGCACCCCGGCTTTGTGCAGCTGCTGCTGCCCGAGCCGTTGAGCGCGCCGCCGCCGCGCTGGCGCCAGCGTCTGGCCGGCTTGTTCCGCGGCAAGCCAGCCGCCGGCGGCAGCGAGGAGGATGACGGAGCAAGCGGTGGCGGCGGCGGAGCAGAGCAAGCGGAGGCGGGAGGAGGTGGAGCCCAGCCTGCGGCGCCAGAGGTGGCTCAGGGCGGCGGTGCTACCTTTGTCTGATGTGCTACTGTCGACTGTGCTGCTGTTGATGTGGACAAGTGAACCAGGCCCTGACCTGTGACGCAATCAGAATGGAGGCGTGGCGGCAGCATTCCTGCCCATGCGCGCATTCAACTCCATGGTGCACTCTGCCAGCACGGAGAACCAGCCGGTGCCGCCGCCGCCGCCTCCGCTGTACGCCGCAGCAGGACGGACTTCTCCATGTTGTGTTTTTTTGCCGCGCCCGTTCTCGTAGAATTTCCAGCCGGATTCCAGGCCGGTTTGGCTTAGCGCACCCTTTCCGCCGCCATCACCTCAGTGCATCGCGGCGCTGCACTTAGTGTCCCCGACAGTGCGCGATGGTAAGCGACCCGCGTCCTGGCATGCTGGCTGGCCCGGCCGCCGCGTCCCGCTCGGGGTGCACCGGCATGCAATGCATGCCGCTGCCGCCAAAACCATGGCGGGCGCCGCCTGCCCGACCAGATTTTCCTCCGTTGGCTTTGCAGCCGTGGTTCTACTGCGATGACTGCGGGGACACCATCAAGAAGGTGTGCAGCTGCCTGTTTGGCTCGGCAGGGACTGGGAAGTGAGGCACGGTGTGCCGTGCAGCAAAGGCATGAGCTCCTATTTGTGGCCCCCAGCGCCCAACACGTGTCGCCCCGCTGCCTGCCTGCGCTGCAGCCCAAGATTGCGCAACACTGCAACCAGTGCAGCGCCAGCGGCTTCACCTGCATCGACTGCTCTGCCAGCTTTGACCGGCGCAGCGTGCAGGTTGGGGCAGGCTGCCCGGCCTGTTGCTGGTGCCAAGCTGCTGGTGTGCCAGTTGCGGCAGCCGCCTTATGCGCCGCCGCCACCGACGCCCGCTGGCTGCAGGGCCACACCCAGTGCGTGACGGAGCACGAGAAGTATGCTCTAGGGGCCACCAAGCCGGGCGGATACGCGGCGGAGGGCTTTGCCGCCAACGGCGCCGCCAAGCCGAGCCAGGACGGTGCGCAGCCGGCTGCCTGGCGCAGCCCCGCCGCTGCCTGCGCGGGCCGTGCCAGCTGATGCTGCTGCGCCGGTTGCAGCCGGATGCGTGTGCCCTGCCATGCTCCCCACACCATTCACCTGCCGCTGCGCCCCTCCGTCCACCTGCCGCTGTTGCTGCTGCTCTGCCGGCCCTGCCCGCAGGCCAGGCCGAGGGCCTGGAGTTCCTCAGCAGCCGCCCCCCCTGGAAGTGCTCCATCTGCAACGTGACCTGCACCAGCCAGGACGCGCTGATGGGGCACGCCTCGGGCGCCAAGCACAAGCGGCGGGTGAGGGCGGCAGCACGCTCCGCACCGGCCGCGGCCGAGCGGCTGGCGGGGGTGGGCGCCCCAGGGCTTTGGCTGGCTCTCGCTTGGGCATGTGCTGGGACACTGCCTTGCGTGCAGTTGAGACTGTGGCAGCGGCTCTGGCGGTACCAGTGTCCCAGCTTTTGAGAGCTGGTATGGGTGTCAAGGGGCTGACTGGAGGCGGCTTGTGCGTTTGTTGCCTGGTTTGCAGGCCAAGGCGGCGCTGGCTGCCAAGGACGGTGGGCAGCAGCAGGAGCAGGCCCAGCCGCCAGCGGCCGCCGACGCTGCCACGGCGACCGCTGCTGCCAGCAAGGAGCAGCCGGCAGTGGAGGCGGTGGCGGGAGAGCTGCACGCCAATGGCAGCGAGGGGAAGAAGAAGAGGAAGAGGAACAAGAAGGGGAAGGCCAAGGAGGGGTCGGCTGCTGGGGAGGAGGCTGCGCAGCCCGCGGCGGAGGCAGCAGCTGCGAATGGCAGCAGCAAGAAGGAGAAGAAGAAGAGCAAGAAGCAGAAGTCAGAGGCTGCGGAGCCTGCGGCACCAGCCGCTGCTGCCACGGAGCAGATTGCACCTGAGGGCGGCAAGAAGAAGAAGAACAAAAAGAAGCGGAAGGCAGAGGCTGCGGAGCAGGAGGCGCCAGTGAAGGACCAGCCTGCAGCAGATGGCGGCACGAAGAAGAAGAAGAGCAAGAAGCAGAAGGCAGAGGCTGCAGAGCCGGCGGCACCAGCGGCAGCCGCCGTTGCCATCGAGCAGCCTGCAGCAGATGCTGGCAAGAAGAAGAAGAAGAGCAAGCAGCAGAAGACAGAGGTGGAGGCTGTGCAGGAGCAGCCTGCGGAGAGCAGCAAGAAGGACAAGCGGAAGAGGAAGAAGCAGAAGCAGGAGGGCAAGGCCGCTGCCTGATGTCTTGTTCATTGACAACTTGTATTTTTTTTAAATGGCATGATGAGCATTTGGAAGGAGACACAGGACAGGACAGGACAGGACAGGGAAGGGTGCTAGTCGCTGCCACCGTCGCCCGTGCCGCCGCCGCCGCCCCTGCCACGCCGCCGTTGCCGCTTCTTCCGCGTTCCCGGCTGCTGCTGCTGCTGCTCGCCGCTGCCGCCGGCCGGCTGCTGCTGTGCGGTGCTTCCGCCGCCTCCTCCTCCTGCTGCTGCTGCTGCTGCTGCTGCTGCTGCTGCTGCTGCTGCTGCTTTCTTCTTTTTGGGCAGCAGGGACAGCGGGTTGGGCCCCTTGGCCTTCTTCCGCCGCACCAGCGGCCGGTCGGCCGGCTCCCGCGCCGCCGCCACCTCCCGCAGCGCCGCCGTCTGCAGCTCCGCCTGGCTGGGCACCAGGTGCCGCTGCTCCTCCTACAGGCAAGTATGGCGGCAGCGGCACATCAGGTACCGCCAGGCATGCCTGCCACCCCAGATGCACCCTTTTCGCAGCAGCAGCAGCAGTGGCAGCATGCACACATGAGTTGTTCAGAAAGCAGCAAAACAGCAACGGCAGCGGCTCAAAACCCCTCTGCTGCACACCGCCACGCCCCACCTGCTTCGCCTGCTGCTTCTGCATGGCTGAGGGTGTCTCCAGGTGCACGCCGTTGACCGAGGCAAACAGCACGGCGCCTCCCGGCACCGCCATGCACCGACGCTGCAGCGCCTTGTCTTGGGTGGCCACAAGGAAGTGCTCCTCGTTCTTATCGCCTGCACTGGGCCAGGGGCGGGCGGCAGTGGCAGCAGCAGCGCCGGTGGAAGCAAAACAAAGTGGGAGACTGTCGGCCCACAAGATGCTGCTGTGGGCAGCTGGGAAGGGCAGCACATGGGCACCGCACAGCGGCCCACCCCCAGCAGCGCGCACCTAGCTGCGCCAGCAGGCAGTCTGCGGCCGAGCAGCGCTCCTCGTGCCCGCACTTGTGCAGCGGGTAGTGCTTGAGCACCTGGCGGATGCCTGTGGAGAAGGGGCACCAGGGGCAGGCAGCGGGCAGGCAGCTGCGAGTCAGCCGCTGCCAGCACACATAGCAGCATGCGCACTGTCATGACCGTCGCCTCTGCTGCAAAGGCCAAGGCACGACACCAGGACAAGACAACCCCCGAAGCAGCCTGCTGCCGCAGCCCCACAGGGCAGCAGCCCCTCCCAGCCGCGTTGCGGAGCCCACCCACCCGTGAAATCCTTGCCGAGCTTCTTCAGCTCGCCCTGCACGCAGAGCGTGGTGTAGCACTTGACCGCCTCTCCCAACAGCCGCCCAATCAGGTCCTTGCTCTCGCCCTTCCTGCAGCAACAAGTGCGGCAGCGTGAGGCGGCAGGTACACGGAAGCGGCAGGTGCCAGTGCACGATGGCTAAGCTGCCACACAGGTTGGTGGGGGTAAAACTCAGTTTGAGGGGCTGCCCTCCAGGCTGATTGTTTGGCTTCATGCCACGGCACCATGGGCCGCCCGCCGCAGCCACTCGCTGCCGCCATCCACCAGCATGCATGCGCATGGCTGAGAGATCGCGCCCTTCCCGCGTCCACTCACTTCATGGCCTCCAGGGCGTGCACAAAGTTGCCGTCCAGCAGCACTTTGTAGGGAGGGCGGAAGCCATGCTGTATTCTGTAGAAGCGCAGCGTGCGGCGGGTGTGCTTGTGCTTCTTCCTGCGCATCGCTGTGCCGGTGAGAAGGGTGGCTGGCCCAGTCGCTGCCCTGAGAAAGGTGCTGGCTGCTCGCAGGAGCTCGCTGTGAGCTCAGCAGGCAATGGAGACGAGGTGAAGAGGGGCGTGTATCAAAGGGGAAGAGAGACACACTCAACCTGACTAGGAGAGGTTTGCCGCCTGGCGGGCAGCGTGCCGCAGCGCCGCCGTCATGCGAACATGTAGCCCGACAACCTCAATGTAAGCCCACCGCCGATTGCTGCAGCCATGCGATGGTCATGCAGGCATGCCTTCCTGTTTCCTGCTGCAGGACCGCCATCCCAGCCATGAGACGCAGCGCCGTCGCCGCTTCACTGTAGCGCTGCCACCAGCCTGCAGCCCAGCCCTGCGGGTGAGCCATCAGCGGCAAGCTGGGCATGTTTGGTTCACTCCAGCATCTCCCAGGCTGCGGTGGGATGTCTGGCACTCTCATATACATGCTCCCTCTGCCGCCGCCGCCGACTGCATGTCCAACATGCCGCTCCACTGCTCGGCCCTCTGTGCCTTGCCCGCGAGTCTGCGAGCTGCTTTCAACTGCTGATGCTACTAGCGCATGTTGAATGCTTCCTAAGAGGGAGCCAATCAGGGCAATCCATTTGCCAGCTGGAGTCATCTTCTTGCGGGGCACATGCAGACGAGGTCGGGAACGTGCCCCACGTAGCCGTCGATCGCTGCCGATTTCGATACCCGCGCATTGAGGGCCCTTGAGCAGCATGGCCTCCACAGCAACACTGCACGGCGCGCCCTGCTGCTCGGCGCGGCCCGTGGGCCGCCGGCATATTGCAGCACCGAGCATCCAGCACAATGGGCCGCGCCTGGCGGCCAGGGTGCAGCAGCGGAAGGGGGCAGGGGAGCGGCGCTCGGCACTGCGTGTGCAGGCCGTCCAGGCCCCTCCCGAGAAGGCGGGGGCGAGCACAGGGAGCGCAGCAGACGACAGCGGCGTTTACGACGTTGTGGTCGTGGGCGCCGGCATCTCCGGCCTCACCACCGCCCAGGTGCGCCGCCGCTTCCGCTGTCGGACGCCTGCTGCCCTGCACGTTGCCGCTGTCTGCGCAGGGGCCCTGCCAGGCAACAAAACGGCATGCGAGCGGGCGCGCATCCCACAGCCTGCACCCCGGCCGCTGCCCCGCCCTGCAGGCGCTGACCACGCAGCACAGCGGCGTGGCGCGGCGGGTGCTGGTGACCGAGGGCCGCGACCGCGTGGGCGGCAACATCACCTCCGTGTCCAACAAGGAGGAGGGGCTGCTGTGGGAGGAGGGGCCCAACTCCTTCCAGCCAAACGACTCCATCCTGCAGGCCGCGGTGCGCGCGTGCGGCCGCCAGCTGGCAGCCCGCCGTGCTCGTGCCTGCCGACCGCGAGTGTTTGCGAGGGCGCGGTGGCGGCTGTAGTCGGCGGCACCCTGGCACAGCAGCTGTGAAGCAGCGCAGCGCCCATACCTCTCCCTCTCCCCCCCAGCCGCTTCTGCCCCCCACCCCACCAAGCCGGCTCGTGCCTGCGCCCTGGCCCTGGCCCCAGACTCCCTGCCCTGCCCCCAACTCACCATCTTCAAGCCCATCCCGGCCTGCAGGTGGACGCCGGCGTGGCGGACCAGCTGGTACTGGGCGACCCCACGGCGCCGCGTTTTGTGTACTGGGACAAGAAGCTGCGCCCCACGCCCTCCGGCCCCGACGCGCTCACGTTCGACCTGATGAGCATCGTGGGCAAGATCCGGGCGGGGCTGGGCGCGCTGGGCTTCAAGGCGCCCATGCCAGGTGCGTGGGTGGTGGGCGGGCAGGGAGGCTGCGTTTGTGCGTGCTGGTTGCGCTGGTTGCCGTATTGTTTTGGCCGGCGGGTGTGCCCCAGCTAGGCTTGCGTGGGCGCGAAGCCAGGAGGCTGGGTGGAGCAGGGCCCCGGCCTGCCCTCTCTGGGTTGCTGGCCGTGCCGCTCGCCGACGGCTGCGCCGCCTGCACCGCCCGTACCGCAGACTATGAGGAGAGCGTGGAGCAGTATGTGCGGCGCAACCTGGGGGCCGAGGTGTTTGAGCGCCTGATCGAGCCCTTCTGCAGCGGCGTGTACGCCGGCGACCCCAAGAAGCTGTCCATGAAGGCGGCCTTTGGCAAGGTGGGGGGCTGGCCGGCGTGGCGCTGCCCCCGCTGCTGGGGGCTGCTGCCGCTGGGGGCTTGGATCGCAGGGTCTCACACCTGCTGCTGGGCAGCTGGGATCGCTGGCGTGGGAGGGAGGCGGGAGGGAGCGGGCTCCCCTGTCCCGCGTGGCACACGCCTTGGCAGCGCACCCTGCGTGGTTGGCAACAGCCCCTCCCAACCACCCATGCACTGCACAACAGGTGTACGACCTGGAGAAGAAGGGCGGCAGCATCGTGGGCGGCGTGATCAAGCTGATTCAGGAGCGGCGCGCCAACCCGCCGCCGCCGCGCAGCCCAGCGCTGCCGCCCAAGCCCGCGGGCCAGACGGTGGGCTCCTTCCGCTCCGGCCTGCGCACGCTGCCGGATGCCATGGCGGCGCGGCTGGGAGACGCGGTGCGCACCAGCTGGCAGCTCAAGGAGCTCAGCAAGGAAGGGGAGGCCTACAAGTGAGCGGGGGTGGGCGATTTGGCCTGGGCTGCGGGTGGTCTGGTCCCGTGGGCCGCTTGCGGAGGGTGCCAGGGGCAGGCACAGCCGGTCTGGGGCTGGCTAGCCTGCA